CCTGCTGACCTTTCTTCTGTTTCTGTTGGAACAGTCTTAATGCTTTGTCCATCTCACTATAAAACTCTTCAACCTCAGCCTCCATGCTTTCCACATCTTGTTCTGAACAGACTTCATCCATCCACCTGAGAAAAATCACAAGGTTAGAAAACATAGTAACAAACCTAGTCCACAATTAACACTTTGTTTTGCAATACAAATGAGAGACAGATTGCGAGTTATTTAAATTAAACCCAGGCTCTTGTTTCCATTTATTGTCATTCTACCAAAAATTCTAATGCACAGCTAAAGGTGGATTGCTCCTATTCTTCTATTAGTGTATCAAGTCACATACTAAAACCAAGTAACTACATGGATTAAGGAATATTTAAATTAAGCTCAATATGATATTAAAACATGCTGGGCCTTTGCATTAAAAAATATAATACTTTCTATGCATATCACAGTATAACTTTTAAAGAGTGCAGGAACCAATAAACCACCTCACTTAGAGATTCTACAGTTTTTGTGGCAGGATCTAGGCACCAAATAGCAGTGTAATCATTTGAGCACATCTATGTGGCGTTTTGAACAGCTGTCAGACTAAAAATGTTTCTCATCCCATACAGATTGTGAGCTTTCTAATTGAATTTCTTCCTTTTCTGGTGTACAAAATAGCTTATAACTAACCACATTTTTTCTTCCTATTACATTTCTTTCACAGAGCTTGTACTATTACAGGCTTCACCAGCACAACCAGTACAGCCAGAACCCAGTATGCAATATACTCCTTTGCATTCCATTCAAACAAACAAACAAACACAAAGCAAAAAACAACCTGACATTTTTTCCAGCTGAATCAAAACCAACAACCCTGACATGCAAATTATATTACTATTATACTTGAATTGCTATTATAAATGTTTATGAGAAAACATGTCCATATATTCTACATCTGACTCAAATAAAAACAGTGCAAGCATTTTTCCCCATTCTTCCTCATTTACCTTCAAGAGCTGAATTACCTTTTTTCTGTTCGTTGCCATCTCAGTATAAGAAGAAAGAGTTTCTGATATGGTTCAATCTCAGTTTTTAAGTTGCTGAGGAGTGGATAATCACTGGGTTTCCACCTGAGCAGAGCCTCTTCTTTATTAATTTGAGCTACTGTTTCATCAGCCTCCTGTATGCGTTTCTGTAAACCTCTCAGGTCAGCCACATACTGAAATAAAATAAACATATGTCTTGAGAGATTATTAAATTATGCTCTGAAAAGCTATCAAATTGAGAAATAAAAATATAATAAGCTTTCATGTTTATTAAAGTTTTAGAAAACATGAGTTGAAAACTTATCTCCTTATCCTGGAATGAATAAACTGTGAAGAACCCAGATAAACACCAAGAAAAATAAACTTGTTTTTATCATTACTGAATTTAAGAACATAAAACCATTTTCAGAATGTTTGAGCTATTTGCAAATAATGTCGCACGGGCCAGAATTCCATCCACTATGCTCTATACAAACTAGAGTAAAAAAACAAACAAGAACAACATTCACTTTACACATCTGTAAAATCTCAATCCTTGCTGGGACTACCTATCAGCTACTTTTGTATTAAACATACAAAACATTTCTACCCTTTTTATAGTAAATGTTAATCAGACCTCTTGTATGCAATCCAGTTCTGAGTAGTCTTCAAACTCTGCCACAGAACGTGCCAGCTTGTCTAATTCCACCATCAGTTTCTCACATTTATGTATTAGTGCTTGCTCTTTTCGACTTTTAGACCGTGCAAACAGCTACAAAACAATAATTTTTTTAATTATAAAAAAGCAACACAAAAGTGGTTGTACGTCCTTCCAATTATTAACATACATCGTACCTACTAAATTAAACACTTTGCACTAACAGAAAACAAACAATACAGATAACTCATTATCCTCACAATAAGTATAATTTCTTCAGGAGTTGCTTCCCATATGTCCCATTTAAGAGTGTGCAACTCCTATGTGCTAACATGGAACCTTCCCTTCAATAATCACAGCAGACAGGACTCCATGGAAGGTGTCCTTCAGCAATCAGAGAAGTGACAGAAAAGCTCCAGCTTCTACAGCATGAGGTGTAACCACTGTCACCAAAACCACTGGATGTATTACAGGAAGAAAAAAAGTCTCATCATTGGGATCCAATGCTATCTGCTAAATGAGGAGACATCTTCAGTTGCTGAAAGCCAATGCTATCCCACATGTAGCTACTGCTATAAAAGACAGAAATTCTAGCAACTTAAGACCACTCTAAAGCACAAGTTCTGCACACAGAGGAGATTCTCAGAAGGGTATGTTTTAAGTCTGATCCTAATTCACTAAATGAAAAAGAGGTCCTCAACTGTGATATTTAAAACATATTAATATTTTCTTTTTTAATGTTAATTCCTAAACATTTCTAGAATTATCAAATCTATAATAAATTACTACAGAAAGGCAAGAGAACACCAGAAGAATTGAACTACCATACCAGAGCCAGAAAGAATGCTAGCAAGATGAATACAAACAAGTGGAGGAAAAGAAAGTCATCTACACACACACAGAAAGAATAAGATGTTGCATGTTTTCTATTAAAGACTGCTACCTAAAAAGCACAACTCGCACTGTTCCTTTATTGACAGAACAAAATACCACTAATTAAATTATTTCCTGTCCAGAGCACTAACTACTAGGGGCCTGACATGTATATTTTCAGTACTAGCCAGCTGCAGCGCAGTGAATTTTGACCTTCCTACGAATTGGCTACTACTAACTAAAAGCAAGATAATATTTGCTGAAAGTTTTAAGTTACAGTGACAATTTTTTCAATTACTCCATAAAAAGTCCTCAGTTGCTATAAACATGTGGAAATAGGTTACTTATACATACATACCATACTTATACATACTTATACCATAAACTAAGATCATGTTCTTACAATGTCATGCTCCGCAAGAATAGAGTTAATCCTACTTGGCCATAATACAACTGCTGAATTCAGAGCAATGTCTTCAGAAGAAAATATACAAACATCTAACAAGTAATTCATTTGCCGACAGCACTCCTATAAAAAGAGATTGCACAAAACTTTAGTTACAACGGGTCTGTTTAAAACATAGGGTAGGACAATACTATCTACAAAAATAAAAGTCTACATTTAATTGACTTTTCAGAACTCAGAGCTTCTTCAGCCAACTGAGTATTAACATGCAAAACACATGTAAGTTATCTAAATCCCTGCCCTGTTAATGAGCTTTTTTCTCAAAACATGACCCCTGTGGCTTGTAAATCTACATGCAATAAAAAAATCTAAACATATAAATTCATCAGAATAAACGTGTGTTATATTTATAGATCTGTTACCATAACAAGAAATCTGATCACAGCGTCTTAACATATAGCAAAGAGCTTCGTATCCAGTCATGCTTCTGGCTGACCCACACCTTACACAATTTTTCCATTGTGTTCTCTGAGCACACACAAAGTACTACTGCTAATGCAACGTCATCCATGTTCTGCTCTAGTAAACTGCTTCTTGTGCATTCAAATTCATTACTGTTTTTACACAAAATCATCTTTACATGTTTGTATTACATTTTCACAAATAGCTTCCCACTTCTCTCTCAAGTAACACTGAGGGTACAGTTTATTCATATATGCAGCATGACTGGACTAAAGTCTCTGCACTGCAGAACGAGTTCTGTATTTGTATAGGTCAGCATGTTTGGTAAGAGATTAAGAATGAAAGGATAGTAATTTACCTTGATCCTTGACGACAGGTCCCGAATACCTTTAGTTTTGAACTTCTCCATGTAAGCTATTGTTTCCATCATTTCCTCTGTCGTCTCAGGAACTTTTAATGCACGTTCTTTCATTGTTTCAAATTCCCTGCATATCCTGCAAGTTTATTTAACAAAATATCCAGATTTCAAGATTTTAGTTTGACTAGCTTCAAGCTCAGCATTAATGGAATTAAGAGTTCAAATTATTTAAGTGCACAAACTTAAAAGTGCCCTGCACAAACTCCATGACTTTGTGAAACTAAACAGGGCATATGACCAAGTCAGTCTAGAAAAATACTGTTTATTAACTTCCAGTAATTAAACTGTTTGGATTTTGGTGTATTCCACAAACAATGCTTCGATTACTTTTGGTAAATACTTAAGTACAGTATCATTGGCAAACACACAAACACTTTCCTAGTAAATATTTTGTCATTTTGGTAATGTGGAATCACTAAAACTTGACTATAATTATTCATTTTACCTGAAGTATTTAATAGGACTTCACTCATGATTTAACACATACCTGCAAATTAACTGTTAGAATTGCTAAGTGTTACTGTTTGTCATTATCTATGAAAAGCTAGAAGTATCTGTCATGTAATAAGAGAATCTTGCTTGTCTTCCCTTTTGACAGTGCAGTAGTACTGTATTTCATCCTTAAAAAGGCAGAACAGCAATGAAGCCATTTGATCTTCTAGGTCCTCTATTATTTAAGTCTATTAGAAATTCCCCTATTTTTTCCATCTAAAGCAGAGGAAAAAATACATCAGCTCATGCAACTTCTATGAGATCATCAGTTATCCAAGAGTCCTCACTGGAGTATGGCATATTTGCATTTATTCTACATTTCTACTATGCATTTAACACACAGATCATTCCCAAGCAAAAAATTCTACTTACTTCTCATTTTCTTCTCTGTAATCCTGAACTATTTTATCCATTAACATGTTTGCAAAGGTGTTCGCCTTATTAGCCAAACCTTGCTTTAAATCCTCACAACTCAAGCAGATCATAGGGAAATCAGCCCCCTGGGGTAAACTCATAATTTCCTTCTTGAGGGTGAAGAATTCATCTATGAACTTCAGAAAAAACATTAGATTTGACACTTCAGAACTGTTATTTAAATATTTGGCTACATGCATAAGTACTACACAAGGAAAAAAATAATATTTATATTTATTATGGACTTCTAAGGGGGAAAAAATATTTAGGTTGTAGATAGCCAACATAATTTTCAGCTACACACTTAAGTGTCTGTTACCTTCTGTTCCCCTTTTATTATTGCTGTCTGTGTATTAAGAATGACATATAAAAGGTAGAATTAAAACTTACATCAGCATATTCATCAAAACTGTGTTCTTCTTTTTCAAATCTTTCTATCCGTGCCTGTGCAGTTCCATCTACAAGCCAGCCATACCTTTCAACTACAGTTCAATAATATTATATTAATACTATAATAATGCCTATGCTGCACAGTACTTAATTCAAAGTAGTAACAGTTATTTAAACACTCTTCCATCACTCACCATAGCTCTCAAAATACTTCTTTGGACCTTCTAAGTTGTCTCTGATACAGTTTATCAATGTAGATGTGGCCCATGCCCTGACATGACTAGGAAGCTCAGCGTCCAGAGTTGCTGTTCCTCCCATTAGCCAAGAACGTACTGTTTGGACGTCCTAGTAGGAAGTACAAATTCTGATTAGTTACATTTTAAAAAAAGCAATAGAGGGATACACACATTTTAAAAGGAAGTTGCAATCTGCAGAAGACACTGTATTATAAAAGCATGAGACCCTAATCATTACCAAGGCCAAGTGCTTCATACACACCTAGAACATCTCTTCCCAATTCAAAAACTTCAACAGGAAACATGTAACAGGAATTAAAAAAAACCCAAATATTACATAAAATAAATTCTATCCTATGTGCAAACAGACAAAACTAAACTGAAAACATGTCTCTGAAAGTACCACAGTGCATGATTAAAGGCCACAAGGCCTCAGTCCACAAGGATACATTTAAAGCCTCCAGAAAGGCTGTAATCACTGGAGTCACAGATTGGTTCCTGAGACATAAAATTTTAAATATTGTATATATTAGTTGTTAGGAATTTGAGGCTCTCTTCTTCTTAGAAATAAAAGGATTATCAACTCTAATTTTCCTTATTCTTTCTCTAGGGATCTTAATTATGTGTTTATTGTAAATCATAGCACATATAACTAAGGTGCCAATTATATTTCTATGCAAAATGTTGCTTCACAGAAAGTACACACTGCAGAAATACTGGATTTTCAATATTAAAAATAAATACATAAATTATAATATGTAGTTACTTACATCAAAGCACTCCCAGGTTCTCTAAACATACCAAAGAATAAAATAAAAGTGTTATATTTTAGCTAACTTTTCTTCCTGGGTAAGCAGTCACACTGACTAACGTTTACCTAACAAGCAGAGAATTCATGTTAAGACACAGACACAGCTTTGCAGAGTAAAACAGCAGACTAATACCATCAGTAACAGGTTTTTTTGAACAAGAAAGAACAAAATGAGATTCAGAGTCTTGAGTTCCACAAGACATCAAGATTCATAATGTGACATGCAGAATGATTGTGGAAAGTTAATTCCTCAAGTTGCATTTTGCTTCCTATTACCCTGGCAGTCAGAGTCTTAAATTACTAATATTTTCACATGCAGAGCAACTTAGCAGTTGCATATTTAAAAAGATAAATGCACACCTGGAGAGTCTGTCCTACACGATTTACTACAAACAGAATAGCTTCTTCAAAGTCGGGGAGGCTTGGATAAAACTCCATTATATTTTCATCAAGAGTCAATTCCATCTTAAATAAAGGTAGACAATTCCCGTCTTCAGGAACAAAATGTTTCACAAAATCTTCAACTGTTCTTCCCAATAATTCTTTCAGCTAGGTAATAATATAGGCCACCTATTAGTTGAAAGAACAGAAAGCCCCACCCCACATTTCCTTCATGCAGTAAGCCAGGATTTCCATTCATTTTAGTACTTTAAACTTGATACATGGATAACAGACATAGTGTGAGTTTCTCTAATGATTTCAGTGGGCATTAGTCCCAACCCTTAAAGGACGTTAACAAATGAACAAGCAAACAAACTTTTCAGTAAAGCCCACATGTTTTTGCTACAAAAGTTTATTAATAATAAATGCTTTAAGAACAAATTACCTGGAATGCATTTTACTCTTTTTTTTGTTAATATGACAATTATTTTATTACATTGTTGTTACATTACTTTTCTACAAAGCAAAAAATGTTTAATCCTAAAAATTTCTGCCTTCTTGAGTGCTGAAGATGTATATGCCCACATATTACATTCTTAAATATAATAATGTAAACAAAAGCTGCTTTACACTAACTATAAAAGATCTTTAATTTTCAGTAAACTAAGAACTTAGAAGAACAATTGTCAGTCTGAAATCAACAATTACATTTGAATGCTGTGCTGTTATTATTAAATAAATCAATCCATTTGAAATTCCTAAAACAAAAAAACAACTGAGAAACACTCTTATAACTTCATGTAAAATGACAATTTTCTGTGTCTATAAACTAGAAGATGTAGACAAGGCCACATACTTATTTTAAATAAAGGCATTTAAAAGTAATTAGCACTTTGAATATTTTACTAGATTATATGCAGTAGATACCTGACAATGATTGATTCAACAGGCCCTGTATCACATCATGTGCTGACTCATTAAAATGACCTAAATTTCTCATGAAGTTCATCATGGAGAGAAAAGATTTTTACCTGATTAGACATAAGTGTAGCCACACAGTTAAAAAAAGAGTCAACCTGATCCAACTTTACACCATCCAATGCCTCATTCTCACTAAAGAGACTGAGAACATTTTTATACCATGTATTCAGTATCTTCTCTTCTGCTTGGGAACAGCTTGAAGACACATAAGCCTTTAGATTTTCACAGTTAATTGGCTTTTGTTGTCTAGAAAAGAAAGTTACAGTCAACTTTATAAACAGAATTAAAACCCAAAGCAACACTAATCTATACTGAATTACAAACCTGTTTTTTAGCAGAGTATTGCACCTGTAAACTTAAATGAGGAAAAAATATCCCAAACCAGAAGAAATAATGAGGACAAAGATAATAAAAATATCTTTTTGAAAATTATTAAAAGAAAAATCTGCAAGATTAAAAATAAAATTCAACGGATTAAAACCAGCAAGAAATCTGATTGTTAGGGTTAGCATAGAATTCCCTACAAATAGTAATGCTACCTCAAGCAGACTTCTACATGGATCATGGCATAAAGATTAAACAATGACACCCCTTTACGGAATTAAAAGGCAAAACATAAAAAAGGGCTGATACTACCAGCAACTTCAGCACCAATAAAATATTTATGCATAGAGATAAGTTAAATGTGTTATAATGCAAAGTAACCTACTCCAAGAACATTAAACAACACATTGAAGAAATTTGCTGTAGAATAAACCCTCCCACAAATAACAGAACTGAACAAACTCTTCTTTACCAGCTTAAAAAACCTGTACAGGTTAAGAATTAACTTTACCTGAAACTTGAAAAATCTACTAGAAGGAAGTCAGAGAACGCTGAAGAACCGAAGTCCAGTAGAGTTCTCATTGTGGGGTGAACAATGTGCAAGTTGGAAAGGATTTGATTTTTTGCTTGGATAAAACTCTTACGCCACGGTGTAGAAAAGTCCAGGCCTCTGAAAAACATTAAATCCAACAACCAAACAGGTGAAATGCTCAAGAAATACTTGATGAAAACATTCTTACATATAAAAAGGAGTATTAAAAAGCTTATTCCATTACATGAACAGTTATTTAAGTGCCAAACACATATTCCAAATATAGTGCAGTGGAAGCCACAAAGATAATTCATCTGATCAACCATGTTTTATACTCCAGAGAATTTCAGATCACCTGCTCTTCCTGAAGCTCTTTCAAAGTAAACTTCTAGCTGCACTAACTGCTATCAGCAAGTATTGTTCAATATTTAGATGGCACATGTGCTGATGCTTCAGCAAATTGTGCAATTCAGATCACAATATTCTGTCTACTTGAATTCCTCTTCAATTTTGGCAGATCATAAATAGCCTTTCCTTTGGTGTCAAGGGTTCACCTCAAAAAGTCAGATTAAACCAGTTTTAGGCTGTTATAGTACTGTACCATGCTGCTGTCTGTCAATATGCTGCCCCACACACACTTCATTCCAGAGGCGGCTGAAGTGTAAGTTTTGTGTCCTGGCACTCAGAGCCGTAAGTCTCATTTGCAGTTGTTAGTACTACTCATGTAACTGCAATGCGTGCGTGTGTGTATATATATACATACAGATATATATATAACAACAGCAACAAAACAGTTAGTGCTAAAACTTGGCAAAGCCCTCAGCTAAAGGATGTCCAAATGTAAGATCCTCTACAGACAGAAAAAATGTCTTAAGGGACTCCAGAATTAATACTGAGCCTTAACTCAGTTCATGCAGCTCGACATTAATTTAACTCACGCAACTGTGTTTTGCCAATGGATTATTTGCTAAATTAATCCACTCACAGAGGTAGGGAAGGCAAAGGTGCCTCCTCATCTTTAAGTCCATCTATGTCTGGTTTAATAAGAACACGTCGCACTAGAAAAATAAATGGTATGAACATTAGAAGAACATTAAACCATACTCAATAGGCACTGCACTTCCTCAGTCTTTCTCTAGGTTGAGCCAAGCACATAGCAGGATAGAAAAGTAACCATATTAGCCAAGTCTTCAAAACACATGCTCCCAAAGGTAACTCAAAATCACAGCTTCTGCTAAATTATCTATACAGATTCAGGTGGCCTAATACCAGTTCTGTCCCCTATTCGTTAAGGTTTTTATTAAATAATTAAGTACTTTCTTAAGTGATTTCTTGACTTCTACAATTCTATTATTCTACATTTTTATAGGAATTTTGTTTAATATCCTTATAGCAGCATACTATACATATATATACATTGTTATCCCACCAATGACACTATGAAGTCCCATGTTAACATATGTATTTTTTTAAATCTGCATTTTAAAAAATAAGATCAACCATCCACCAAAATACTGACAAAATCAGTCTCAATATCAAATACTGTAATTGTAAATTAAGAAATAAATTAATCCATAGTTTCCAGTGAATGTATTTTCAAAATTCCAATTAATGAATCTTTTAAAAGAGTTTAAAAATCAAAATGAGTTGTATGAGTCATAACTGAAAATAGCTAATTATCTTAACAGATTTTTATTGCCAACTTCCTCATGCATAGAAAGCAGCATAAGCAAACTTATGGCAGTGTTCGTGGATGGACAGCTTAAAAAAAGCTGATGGCCCTGAAGAAGTTAAAAAAACGAAAAAGAATTACTAATACATAAGAAGTTTCTACTTTCTTTAGTAGAAAACAGCAATACATTCTTACATCCAATTAACTAAACATGTGAAAAACGTAATGAAGTAAGGTCTAGCAACCAGCCTCTCTCACAAAGTCTACAGCTGTCTTGTCTTTGCTTGAACTGTACCTTTGCTGGTTAGTTTTTCACTAGTTCAAATAAAATCAGCAAGTTCTGCCTTAACATCACAGCAAATACACATTTGATGAGGCAGAAAAAGAGAAATCCACAGTTAATTACAAAGATCATGCCTGGCTGAAAGAACAATCTAGAAACATTTTCAGAGGGAGAATATGGAACAGCTTATATATACATAATAATAATAGTATTGTATAAGTGCTAGAACTTACCCATAAATCTTCTCATGCTTATTTCATAGTCCTTTATTATCTCCCCTAAAAGCTGCTCAGTTAACAGCTTTTCATTTTTGCCTTCCATAAGTGACTGTGGCACCAATGAGAGCAGAGACATAAGCCACTGTTGCTGAATGGGAACCATTGGATTACTTAGCACACGACTCTTCATAAAGAGATAGTTTGTCTGAAAGGACAACATTGTCAGAGGTCTAATAATTGGTTAAGTATTTTTGCATTAGGCTTGATGATGATGTCTCTCTCTATTCACCGTGGTTGGCAAAATAGTCTCCCTGTATGGTTGCTTAAATACAAAAGATTGTACTTTTTACTATGGCCTTTTCCTTGTTTCTCCACTGAAGTTCATGACCAAGAGCAACACAGCTGAAGGTCCACATTATTGTCCTTGGGATGAACATTTATCCAGCAAAAATTATGCACAAATGGTGGATGGGGTTGGCCAAAGCAATGGCTATTTATACTTTTGGGTGATAGGCATCTGGATCTCTGGTCTTCAGAATTAATTTACCTAACATTGGCTAGCAAAATATACATGTTTCCTTAAGCTATTTAATATAAATATTTCAATGCTGATTTGATTTTAAAGTGGTCCTCAGAGATGAAGTCTTATTTTTAAAACTATATACAAATTCTAGGATTTGTACATGTTCTCCAGATTGGGAGAACAATGTCAAAGGCTACTTTTTGTGCAGGTTAAAGTACAATCTATGACCTCAGCTGAAAAACATCTGAAGCCTTTTAGAATTTTTTTCTAAGTCATGATCTTTAACTAAGGTTTAGATCAAAATTTAAACTATTGATGGACATACTTTCTGTAACAGAGAAATACTTTCCTTCTATTAGATTACAGTAAAAGATTCCTGTTTTGCTTCTTAATTTTCCCCAAGACTACTGAAAAAGCTTTTCCTGTTTAGCCACCATTAATTCCACATAACATACTCAACCCATCTGACTAGAGATTGTTCACCCTTCTACTCTAAAAAAGCTGAAGAAAGCATTTAACTCACTCTTCGTTGTCTCTTCTCACTGTTCATCTGTATAAAAAGGACAGAAAATCCTAATGTATTAAAAACACATAAAGCAAAAAACAAATCAGAAATATAAAATGTAACAAATATTATTCCTAAACAAAGACTTTATTCTGTAAATGTACAGGTATCAATTTCAACGGGACTACTTGAGCACATAAATATATTGATGAATTACTAAGGATGGAGATGAGCATATTTAAGTAAATACTAGTATTAAGAGGTGTAAATGCCCCATTACCAAAGAACAAAACAGCCACCAGTTGAAATAATAAATACTTTCTCACAGTGGAAGGTAGTTCCGGAATAGGGGGTGGAGGAGCTCTGTGCTCTTTCTCTTCCATGGATATGCGATAGGCTTTTAAAGCTCGATCAATTCTAAAGTAAAGCACCAAGTCAGAATTGTAGAAAAACTACAAATAATATATTAAAAATAATGGTCTAATTTAAATTGATACAATCTCTTTGATACTGTTTCTTCCTGTTTACTAGTTCTTTGATCACTAAAAACGTTGCCTTTGCATATTCTGTCTTCCCTCACATAAAGCACCACATTTATCTTGACCACAATCACTATATATATATATATACACACTTATGCCTTGATTCACCTCATCTAGTTGCCCTGTGCTCCTGTTAGGATTATATCTTATTTCTCCTCAACTAACTACAACAGACCTTGTCCAACTGTATTATGAAAAAAAGAAAAAAGCACAGAACAAAACTCCTAGGCAAGTTTATTTTAAGACCAGCTCTTCTGTACTGCCTGTGGTTATAAATCGCTGAACAACTATCAGAAAACTTTACATTTCAAGTATACAATGAAATCAATGCCTCATGGAACCTTATTTAAAAGAAAGTCCCATTTGCACAGAAATGTCATTGAATTGATGTTCCAACAGAATATACTCTTTGTCAGATGGCTAGTCAGCAGTCATCTTTCTGCACAGTCAGTTCACTACAATTTAGTTTACATTTTCAGCATACTGAACACCTGCATGCCCAAACTGCACTCTGCTATTGCAGGTGTCATTAAAAGGTCAGGACTTTCTTCAGATTTGTAATATAACAAGTATTTAAAGTATTAAAAGAAAGGAAACATCTTTCACTACTTCTAACTTCAATAAAGATTACCTGTTTTTCTAACTGATTGTTGCTACCACTATTTTAAAAATAATGTAATCCCCTATATTTGACACATATCAGATTCCCTTCTGTGACAAATTCTTCTCGGATTTCCATACTGGAACTCAGTTTTAAGACCACTGCTTAGCTCCAACAAAGCCAACAATTTGTGACACCTATAAGTATCTTTCAAAAGACAACCTGTAATACTTGGCCACTTAAAAATTTAGCCACAGGAGTGGAATATAAATTGCATAGGAATTAGGCAAGTAGCTGGTTACCATCACCAAATCTAGTCACAGCAAATGGAATCACCAAACCCACAGCAAGAAAAAATAAATTCTTCATGTCAGTGACAATACTTAAAATTAGTTAAATTTATATTATATGTAGGTCTTTAATCTCCATTTCTTCTTCTGAAGGCCAAAACAATTTTTATGTGCTTTTTAATCCCATCAAATACTATTTGATGTCCTTACCATTTTCATCCTTGATGTCAAAATGCAAGTTGCTATACATTTCATAACACTACTACAAACAATACAACCTTAGCCCACATAATTCTCATGTTTATGCCAAGATAATCAATATGTCTGGGGTTTAGTCAGTAAGTTCCTGAAAATAATGTAAGCATAAACTTCTATCAAAATAATAAAGACATTTAAATAACTTCATTTTCTATTAGACCTACAAAAGTTACACAAAAGCAGCCTTTTCTTATTGTCTTTTCTCCTTTGCAAATTAAAATCTTGAAAGACAATTTTAAGTGAATTTACCAATCATCTTAGCAGCTCTGCTCCTCTGGCAATGACACAGATCACTAAGCTCAGCAGAAAATGCATTGAGATACTGACAATGAAGTCTGTTAGAAGCAGACCCATGTTTGGATCATTCATACAAAAGCAAGCAAATAATGCAGACTTTGATCCTCTTTGAAAAAGGTTTTCAAAAAAGATTTTTTTTTTCAGGCTATCATAAACAACATAAAAATGTGAAGGTCCTTTGCTCCTCACAACTCACTCCAACAAACATACCTCAAGTAGATTTGGGGTTCTGTAAAAGAAAAAACACCAGAGATTCCATCCAATGTTCTGCTATTATTAGTGATTTTAGATGGAAAGTGTTCAGCACTGCAACAGTAACATCAAAACCCTCTGAAGTTAACAGTCATCATTATTATTTCTCAAGTGTCAATTGTGCAAGGTATCTTTTATTTGAATTGCAACATTTATTGAATTACATGAAACTCACAGTAACTGATTAAGCATCTTTTGTTGCTCATTGCATCTTCGGTATGCCAACAATTTATTTTGCAACGGTGACGTATCAGATGTGACTGATGAAGGTAAAACAGTGGGACTGAAAAAGGTTCTCAAAGCCTTTTCATTGGAAGGTTCTCCATCTGAGTGCGCCATCTGAAACCACAACAAAAACAAGATTCTAGAATACAATTAATCCTGTCCAGAAGTTTAGTAGATGCACGTATTAAGTTGAATTTATATAAGATGTAAAATGAGATAGCATCAGGGATTTCCACAATTTAAGTATGAAAGTTTATCTTTCAGAAAACAGAAAAAAATACAAATATTGCTGAAAACTGCTTTGCTAAAACTGCAAAGTTCAACAGAAAGGCCATACTAAGTCTACAAGAGCAAAAACAGTGGTATAGTCCTATTAACTCAAGAGTAGCACACCACATTTAAGTAAAGGTATGTTACAAGTCTCTTTTAAGTGCTACCAGCTGCACACAACACAAAGGGAGCCTATTAACTCACCCCAGCTGACGGCACCAGATTGGCCCTGCTCTAAGCACCTGTTCTGATGGGGCCTTGCTGGGGCTTCAGTAAGCCATTACCTACTCCCTTCTCATCCAATCAATAAAAAAAAGTTGCTGCCTCATTAAGTCCACCCATGCTAGATAACATGGAACAAATTTGAACAAGGGAGACTTCTGAATTCTGAGGGAAAAAAAAATGCCCAGTCTTTATATTTGGTATTACTATAAAGATAAAGCTGGAGCAGATTTTCAAATATAGCATCCTAGAATTCTAATTTAGTGAGAACTTTAAAGGAAAAGAAACAAAGCCATAGTTACATCAACATGACTTATAGTTTCACCACAATGTCAAACAAATGAGAGCAAAATGATGAGGTTAGTCTTCAGATACTATACCACTGTCAAAGAAGACAGCAAAAGAGCAGGAAATTATCAAGAAAGCATTTACATAAAAAACCAGCACCCCATTCTCATTTTTATGTTTGTCAAGGAAAAAGTAATTAAGCTTGTGGTTTTTTATGTGCGAAGTAATCATTAAGAGTTCTGTTCCACACATTTATTTTGTAAGAAGCAGTGTAAAACTGAAGACTGTTTAGCATTAACTGTGTTGCTGAAAGTTCTTTTGATGAACGTAAAAAGACTGCTTGAGAACTCTGTCTCACATATAAACATACATCTTCATCAACATAGAATATCCCTAGTGTCCTGGTTTGAGCCAGGATGAAGCCAATTTTTCTTTTTACTGATTTTTTTTCCTTCAGTAAGCTTTCTTTTAACTAGCAACAGTGTGTTCTGCTAGGCTGATGAGACAGAGGAATGTTTTTCTAACTACTGAGGCTTCAAGGTCGCACCTTCACTCTGCCAGCTCAGACACTATGGGGAGATCTGTGACCCCCCCGTAGGAGGCTGAGTTAGACAGACAGCAAAATTGGCCAAAGATATTCCATTCCATATATCTACGTAAGCTCAGAGGAAGGTCAGAGATCACAGAAGACAACTTCCTTCCTTCTTCTTCTTCCCTTCTCTTCCGTCCATGGCCGGCGTCCAGGGAGGACTCTGTTCATCCATCACCGTCGATCCTCAGGCTTGATCTCTCGTGACCCCCATAACTCTCTGCTTTCTCCAGCAGCAGCTCCGGGATTCCTCGAGACTCTTCCCAGTTCAGGGAAGTGCTGTGGGAGTGGCTGGGGGTGGGAGGTGGTGAGAGGCTTTTGCCCACACCTGAATATATCTGTATATAATTGTATATATTTTCTTGTATCATTTATTAGTGTTTTAATTAAAGCTGTGTAGTTTAGTTTTCAATCCAGCCAAGTCTCTCTCTTTTTCTCTCTCTCCTTCCCTACCCGGGTTGGGGGGGAGGGGATCGAGAGCATTGTTGTCGGACCTGAGTCAAATGGTGACACCTAGAGACAGTTTTGTATATGTTTACCCAAAGCAGAGCAGGCTGTAACGTAACTTCACCTGCCTGTCTGGAAATATTTATCTGAGCTACAGAAACAAGTATTTCCAAGAGTTTCCAAGCCTCCTCAGCCACACACAGAGCAAATGAGGGACAACTCCCCAGAGCACCGTGCCCTTCACACCTGGGGACAATTACCCACGGCCCTTCGCAGCTCCCTACAAAAACATTATTTTCCCAGCCAGATCTCTAACCGTCTCCCTTCTGCTTTCAGACCAGGCTTCTGCCTTGAAAATATGGGGACACACAAGCCTTAAACGAGAGCTGTGCCTGCCAAGACTCCTCCTGTTAACAAGGTTCACCTGTCCAAAATAGCACGTTCATTAACCTATTCACAGAGTGTTTGTTGCACTTCGTGCAATACCAAGCTACTAATGTGCTCTTGTTGATGACAGTTATTAATTGAAATCAATAAAATTTTGGTGAAAAATAACATTGGGGGGGAAAAAATCACATTAAAAAAAGGAGAAAAAAGACAGGGCTTAGATAAGAGTGAAACAGTAAAAATTAAGACAAAGCCACACTCTAATTAGAGAACATGCCAAGTAGTCAACAGCCTGGCCTTGAGCCAGGCCTGCAAGACACCTGCTAGACTGATGAAAGGGATGGAAAGAAACACCACCCACAGCTACAGCTTGGTTACAGCCTTCAGGACTGGGTAGAAAAACGTTGAGTAACTGGGTACACCGTGTTACAGAATCACAGAAGGTTATCTAGTAGCATACTGAAATACCCAGCTATGGGCTAGAGTGATTCCTACTAACAACAAGCCCCACACTCTTTGAGAAGTTGTAGTGTTGCCTCTTTAAATGGAAGTGAGAAATTAATTGACCAGTCATGGTGTGAATGACAGAATCATGTTAATGGATGAAGCTCTTGCTCACGTTTTGGGGCATACATGTAGCACTTGCATTTCAGAAAACTGAGCTTGCTTTGTGGAATGCCACCCTGCTGCCTTTTCTGCACAGCACTGAACATTAAAAGCAAATCTCTCAGCTCTTGTGTGGAGTGGATTCTTGCACACGGGCTGGTGGACACCATTTTCAAGACAACATTGTGATATAAAAAAAAAAAACAACAACAAAAAAAACACCTTAAGACACTTGGCAAAATCTTACCTTAAATCTCTTAGTCTGCCACAGAACTTGACTAAGCAAGTAAGTCTCTCTGCTCCAGGGTTCTGCCTGCACAAAGCAGATAAAAACCATCGTGTTCTAGGCTGCAGCAGGACTGCTTAATAACTTATAATTAACAACCACACAATGGATAGCTGTTACTAAGCTCTACATCACGTAAAACTATAAATGGAAATTTTAACACAATCCAGAGGTTTACTGCCCACTTGCCCACATGTGACTCAGAGATTTTGCAATACCGATTTTCTGTCTGTGGGCAGAGCCCCACATCCAGAAGCTGCAAGAACAAACACTAAAGAGCTTTAGACCCGTTTTCAAAGTCCTGGGCACGTTCCCAAGACATTTTACCAGCCCAAGACTACTCAGTTTGAAGTTTAAACGCAGACATGGAACACTTTCCCACAAGCAGAACCCAAGCCCTCGATCCCAAGATAGGTACTCATAAGCAGTTTGAAACCAACTGCACCTCCTGCGGGAAACCAGCCCCCCCCCAGCCCTTGGCCAGGTGGCGGGGAGGCCTTCCCTGAGGGATTCCGCTGCCGAGAGAACAAGCCCGGCTCCTTCCCCAGGCAGCCTAACGGCACCGCGCAGCGCGACCCCCGCGCAGCAGCAGCAGGAGGAGCGGAGCCCAGCGCAGCCTGGAGCCCCGCAGCCCCGAGC